TGTTGAGTCCTTGAAGCCTAGGGCAGTTCCTGGCAACAGTATATAGAGTGTGGTCCGTAAGGTATCGTAGATCTGAGACATCTAGAGCCTGCAAATGCCGGTTGCCTTCCACCAGGTCCGAGACACCCTTGTCCGTGAGCTTCGAACAATTCGTCAAGGTCAACCGCTCAATACGCTTGCACTGAGCAAAGGGGACCACGGTGCCGTCGCTGACATCTTCCGTCAACGCAGAGAGATTGAGTCGTTTGATAAGCTCCGAGTACGCAAATAAACTATCCGGCTTTCCCACGGACGCTGTTACGCTCTTCAGGTTGTCCCAGTTATTGCACGACGGTCGATGCCACAGTATCCCGACGCAGTTGGCAGCCCACCCTCGGCATACCAGCATGCAACTCAGCAGATCCGCAGTTGAACTGAGCTTCGCGAATATGGAGATAAGGAGCTCCGGCGGTAGACGTCCGATCGGAGGAATTACTGTGTTTCTTGGACCCTGGTCGCGAGGCTCGCGGAAGTTCCCCACTCCGACGGAAGACTGCGAATCGTTGGCCTGGGCCATGAAGAAGTCGGTATCATCATCGACGGTACGATCGGGAGAGGTGGATGACGAGGACTCGGAGGGAACTTCGCTTGAGAAGCGAAGTGGTTGCCGCGAGCGGGGCATTCTGGATTGCGGGTGTGAAGCCTGAGGAGGTCTTGTGATGAGGGTTGTCTGATCAAGGTACTCCAGCAGCATGAGATACGCTATTCATGAGTACTTTGACATGAGAAGGATACCGCTGTCAGCACAAATCCGCACTCGAGGGCGTGAGACTCTCGTTCGGTATCCCTTGACACCAGCAGACCCTGTAAGCAAAGCTGAAAAGGGAAATGAGAGCAAAAGCACGGCGCCGTCCAAACCGGCCGATGGATCCCGTCGCAGCGTTTAAGGAAAAAGGACGAGAAACAGGGAATAGAAGACAGGTATCAATAGGAACGCGCGTCCGAGCGTGCCTGCAGCAGTTGCACACAATAATCCGGAAGGTAAGGGAGGGGCTGAGGAGCGGAGAATGGAGGCTTGGGGCGGGCGGATTATTGACCAGGGAAACGACAAACGCTCGATCGGGGAGGGAAAGACGTGGTGGAGTTATCGAGATTTTATGCTTAGAGTAGCATTATCCAGACGGTCTATGCGTAGTGATATGGCAGACAGATAACTGTAGGTATGGTGGGTGGGATCTATCGAGGAACCCAAAGAGCTGTTTGATCGGGCGGCTAGAAAACGAGAGTCAGCACAGGGCGGCGGCTGCCAAAGTGATGGATGATTAGTCTTAAGGTCGATGGGAGGCAAATAAGAAATGATGGTTCCAGTCCCGCTGCTGGACCTCACGGTAGGATCGACGTTCTTTGTCTTGAGGATTGATCTCCGTACCTTAGATTCTGAGCTGGAAATAGTTGAAATTTTAGGATTTCAAGATGCGCAACGCAATAGAGTCATGGACATAAGACCTAGGCAGGATCAATGTGAATATACAGGCGTACCGCTTGTTTTGCGCACCGATTGGCTGGCAGAAAATAGTACCTAGATGGTGGCCTTCACAGTCCCTCCTTAATATATATACACTTATACACAAGGTCCTTGGGATTGACATGTACAAATCCTGGATCCAAAAATACATCACTGAGAATACTGATCACCGCAAACCCCAATATTTATTGGCGATGGCAACATGAAGCGATTGGCCTTACTGAAGGCAACCTTCTAGACACTTCCCATCAACCATGATATCCATCTTCACTACTCCCTCTCATTATCGAGATGATCCAATACTTGGGATGCATCTTGCAAGTTCGCATCATCGCATGCCATCACAGGCTTGGCAGCAGTGGGTCCCATAGAAGATTAGTGTCGATAGTGGGAAAAATGTCTCGATTTAGTGTCTGCCACCAGAAAGGGGCAGACCCATGGATACCCTCAACAGCACTCGCAATCTCGTATTCTCAACGAGATTCTACTTCAGCCGACACTGGTCATGTCCGACTTCCCCCTTTTGCCCATTCTCGAAGGACATTCTTCCTGACCTTCCCCGTACTCGTCTTCGGAAGCTCCGCCACCACTTCCACCTCCCGTGGGACCATGAACTTGCTGATCGCACTGTGTTTCTTGGCCCACGCGATCACTTCTTTCCCATCGATCTGCTTCCCCTGCTTCACAGTCACAAATGCCTTGGGTCGCTCCCCCCAATGTGCGTCCGGGACCGCCACGACACCAGCTTCGAGGATGTCGGGATGGGTAACGAGCATCGACTCGAGAGCAACGGATGATATGTTCTCGCCTCCTGCTCAGTCATGGTCAGCATTGCGATGAATGAGCAAAAAAAGGAGGACAGATATTGCCTACCGCTGATGATGATGTCCTTTGCTCGGTCCAAGATTTGGACGGCTCCATCTGGGTGCCAGACCGCCAGATCCCCGGAGTGCAAGACGCCCCCCGCGAAGAGCTTTCGCGTGGCCTCGGGGTCTTTGTAGTAGCCTCGGGAGCAGATGTTGCCAACAAAGGCGATCTCTCCTATCTCTTTGCCATCCCGCTGGACGTCAATAATGGTTCCTTCTGGGACATCCGTCTTGATAACCCGAACGGGCAAACTAGTCACGAAGCCATGTCCTTGTCTTGCCATCTTCTTGTATTTCTCTTCCGCCGGCAGTTGATCCCATTGAGGCATGTAGTACCCTTTGGTAATCGGTCCATATGTCTCCGTCATTCCGTACACATGCACTGGGTGCAAGTTCAGGTTGGTCATCTGCTCAAAGAGATGTGGGGTGGGTGGGCTGGCCGCCACGGTAACTTGGACCGGCCGAGGAAGTCGCCCGGCCTCGTTGGCAGCACACAGCAAGGTATTCACCGTTGGAGCCGCGTTGAAATGGGTGATGTGTTCTTGCTTCAGCAATCTCCAAATCTCCGGATAGTCGATCTTTCGCAGGCAGTAATGGGTGCCACGGACGGCGGTCACTGCCCAGGGAAATGTCCAGCCTGGAAGAGTTAGCCGGATGACAACAGGCTAACGATGCCGGAGCTGAGCATATAACTAACCCATTGCATGAAACATAGGTAAAGTCCATAGATAACGGCAGCGACCTTGTTGAAAATTCAGGCCAGACTCGATCACGTTGGCCAGGGCAGCTAGGTAGCAGCCACGGTGAGTAAACTCGACGCCTTTGGGGCGGGCTGTTGTGCCACTGGTATAAGCAAGGGCAATGACATCGTCTTCGGAAGCAGCCTGGCTTTCCAGCCCATCCCAGCCCTTTGCGCCTGTGTCAGCGTCATACTTGAGACCTAGTAAAACAGCCTCGTCAAATGGACCGGAGAGTTGGCCTTCTGTAGCATCTGTATCCGTGTCGACTATGACGGGAATGTCTGGCTTTGCTGCTCGATATGCCTGCAGTAATGGTAGATATTCTTTGTCCACAATGATGACCTCGGCATCCGAGTGCGTGAAGATATAGGCGATATCATCTTCCTTGAGTCGGTAATTAACAGCTAGTTGGTGTCAACGTCAACCTCTGCTGCAGGCAATGAGGAAAGGATCTCGCCCTTACCAATGTTCACTGCTCCAGCAGCAGCTATCCCAAAGATTGACTCCAGGAAGGCAGGGGTGTTCGGACACAGAATGCCAACCCGCTTGAACCCATGCTTCTTGAGATAGTATGCAAGGCCTCTAGCCCGATCTGCAGTCTCTATATACGTCCTCCGCAGAACCTGATTGTTTGCAGTGACATGGTAGATAGCTTCAGCCTATCAGCCAATGGTTTTCGCCAGTTAGTTCACTGAAACCAAAACAGTTGCTTTGTACAAAAGCAGCGCAGAGAACAGAAAGTCTCACATCAGGTTCAATTGCCGCAGCACGGGGCAAGAAGAATGTGGGCGAGAGCGTATGGTAGTTGATGCGATGTTGCGGAGCAGGGTGATCCTTAACTTCGGGGGACGCAAGATGGCCCAGTAGACCCGACAAGCGAGTCTTGACAGATGACATGACTAAGGGCTCGGTAGCGGTAACCAAACAAAAGAGTCCAGATTCATGAATCTAAGGTACAAGAAGCCAAGTACTCCCCAGGTGTATATAATTATTGCAGGTGTTTGGGGTTCGCGGAAACAAGGGGAGCACCATACAACAAGAGCCGAATTGGAGATAAAATGCGGGGAATGATCGGCTGCTAGACTGCTTTGGACCGCGGAGAAGTTTGACTTACCCGCACCCTACCAAGCGGGACGCGGGCGACTCTTCCACATGCCTCGTTTGTTGTCCAATTACTTTCGGTACAAGTAAAATATGAATATCTTAAAAGGAGAATGATATAAGAACTCAATTATCGTTATTGGGACAGCCACGTCTTATTTTTCGTAATGAGAAGTCTATCCCGGCTATCCTTTGCGTATCTTGAACCACTCAGGGTAACAAACCACCCTAGGCCACAGACTTCTAAAGCACACCCAGAATCCATCTACCGACTACCCATATGATCCGCACTCGGTCCGCACTCCGTATGCCCGTAATATCCGAGGCTGGTTATTGATAGCTCGGACGTTCGATCCTGAGACTGAGGCATAATAGGAACCGACCGCTAACAGACTACGCTCATTGACATACATAGGATCAAGTCTTACAGTCAAATGAACGATGAATGAAACAAACAAAGGACGGAAACGAGCATTGTCAATGGTCATGAGAGTCATTCTTAACTCGAGAAAACTTTGGATTAAACCGCGACGGCGCGAAATAACGGTCAGCTATTTTGAACAACCTTTCCTCCCAAGCGACTCCGTATTTTTTACTTTTGAATATGAAATCGGTTCCTGTAGCCTCCATGTCCGTCACAACATGAACATTTGTGGTAATGCATGATGAGGTAGGGACAAGGGAAAAAAGGTCGATCGGTTTGCCGTCCAACTTCGCTGAAAGATAAACCGTTTGCGATCCCAACCCAACCCATCACTGAGACAAGCAACCAACCGCGCAACGAGGTATCTAATATCCGTACTCAGCAAGCTGGCTCTTGGTCTTGTCGTCGACGCTCGCCGACTTCTGGGCCTGGACGAGCTGGCGGCGAGCGGCCTTCTTGCGCTCGTAGTATGCACTGCTCTTAACCTTTCTCCGCTCCTCAAGTCTGAAAAGAATCATCCATTAGCCATGTCCATAACACCAGAAAAACCAATAATCCAAAGCGATGGATACACACCTGGCAACAACGTCCTGGTACTTCCAGCCAACCTCGTGGCTGAGTCTACCGACGGTGCAGTACTTGCGGCCGGGGCGGAGTCTGAGAACACGCAGAGCCTGGGGAACGACGACGCGCTTCTTCTTGTCGTAGGGGGGAGGAACACCCTCGAAGACCTTGAGTCTCTCCAGAGCAGCAGCACCACGGGGGGTCTTGTGGGGGATCATTCCGCGGACGGCCTTGTAGAAGATGCGGGAGGGGGCACGGAAGTGGAAGGGACCACCACGAGTGGGGTTGTAACGAGTCATCTTGCGAAGGTAGGCGTGGTACTTCACTATATCATCAGAAGTGGGCGAATGTCAGCTCTTTGCTCCGAACCAGCGTCAAACGGTCGCAACATTTCCAATTGTCCCCAAGTCTCGGTATATCTCTGCTCCACCCTCCTCTTGCGCCTTCAAAAGGGATGAAAAAACGAATCGGATAACGTACGCTTCGCACGGAAGAACTCGCCGGAGATGTTGAGGGCTTCACATCTCACAACGACGATCTTCTGGCCGTTAAGCAGCTGCTTAGCAACAGTGCTGGCCAGGCGACCAAGAAGGTGTCCCTTGCCGTCAATGACGACCTGTAAATTCCCAGCACAAGTCAGCGATCACTGTAATTGTAGATAACATAGCCCGTAATGTCTCCCGTCCTTGAAATCTCCAAAGCACACAAGACGACAAGGCTTTTTGGCGGTCTGCAGGTGAAAGGGGGGTACGCACGACTGGCTCGGTGGAGGACATCCTGCTCTTCTGTCACCGTTTCAAAAGGAAAATATCCAGCGAAAGGAAGAGCGCTGCTCTAGGATACTCCCTTGGGATGTATGTTGTCGGCGGTTGTTGTCGTTGTGGTCGAGTTCAACGCACACAACGGAGTCGGATGGGTTCGCAGGTTAGATCGCTAAGCGAAGCTACTACCCTTTGTGTGGAAAGGTCATTTGAGGGCCACAGCCCTAACCCGGTCCAATCCCGTGGCTCAAGATCACGTGAACCACCTCCTTTGCCCCTCCGGTCAATTCCAGCCCAGTTTGACGCTTTCTGGGTCCAAAAGACAAATTGTTTCTTGATAGGCCAGTCTCAGACTGTTCCACCGAAAAGGAGCATTTAGTTGTCTTTCATTGATTGTGGTTTATCTACTCCGTGGATTGTCGCCGGTGATGTCAATATCTTCACTCGGCAGGCCGACTCCGGCGTGAATCTAGAGCCTTACATCGCGACTTCAAATGTGATCAATGAAATGACATTGACAGCCTTATGATCTTACGGACATAGCTCCTGGTACTACCTATTGACTAAGATAGTGAATCAACGATCGGCTACCGATCAAATTCCATGACATTTCTTGGCATGATAGAAGTTTCAACGGTTCATGTTGGCCAAGATTGGTCGACGTATACTTAGCTGTTCTCATATTACGACTTCCGAGGTTGAATTTCGGACAAAGGTCATAGGTATTCATCCTCAACTCGCTTTATGGTCTACTAGTCCTCGTTGTCTGGAAGCCCACTTCGAACCTTGTATGAGTCATTCGATTCGCGGTCGCTATGTACGACCCAGCCGACCTCCTGCTACGTTATTTCCAGCTCTGAACAGTCTCTGGCAGCCTTGTTGCAGCGTCGAATGACAACAAAGCAGGCTTGTTTACAGCCTTAGACGACTGATGAGGCTTCGAAAAACGCGCTTTGTTTGTGTGTCTGACACGCACGGATACGCGCCATCAGAAGCAGGGTTCAAGCTACCAGCAGGCGATGTCTTGATCCACGCGGGAGATCTTACGAACCGAGGCAGTCTATGCGAGCTGCGCAAAACGATGGAATGGATTTCCAAGGCCGACTATGAGGTCAAGATAGTTGTCTGCGGTTAGTCTGCTTGGAGCACGCGGTAATGTGTGCGTGTTTACTGATTAGCACACCTGTCCAGGCAATCATGATATTACGTTAGACGCAAGCTTTTATGCTAAATACGGATCGACCTTCCATAATCAGCATCTAGAAAACTCTGAGCAATGCATGGAAGTTGTGAGGACAGGTTCACCCTCGGTAGTATTTCTTCAGCATCAGTCAGCACTAGTCCGCTTGACCCGGGCCGACGGCCCCAAGACCATATTTAAAGTCTTTGGCTCGCCCTACTCCCAGTTCACTGGAAACTGGGCATTCGGATACGAGTCGGCCGACGCTGGTGCGCTCTGGGGGCAGATTCCATTGGACGCTGACATTGTCATCACACACACGCCGCCTCATTCTCACTGTGACAGCCTGAGCACTGGCGAGCCCGTCGGGTGCAATGCCCTGCGTCAGGCATTGAGCAAGGTGAGACCTCTTCTTGCCGTTTGCGGTCATGTACATGAGGCGCGGGGCTATGAGAGGGTCAAATGGGCCTCACCATCGTCAACCAAGGCCGGACCGGAACAAACCGAGCATCAGGTTATGCGAGGTGTCTTGCCTCCTCGAGAAAGCAAGAAGCAAAACCTAGTTGATCTAACGGGCAAAAAGGCCGAGCGTCTAGACAATGATGGCTACTCTGTCCAGGCGAATCCAGATTTGCCGACGGCATCATTCACGCCGTCGCAGAATGCCCTACTGCTGCCCTCAATCACAGCCTCAACATCCATGATGCCCAACAGTCCGCAGCAGAGTCAAAATACGCCTTTTTCGCTTCGTTCTAGTTTGGTCGAGGACACTCGCAGTGGTGAAATCCATCTCCGAAGAAAGGAGACGTGCATTGCCAACGCCGCTATCGTGACAAGCAAATGGCCGCACCGAGGAGGCAAAAAATTCCATCCTCCTATTGTAGTTGACCTGGAGCTGCCGACTTGGTCAGAGCCTGAGTAGCCCAGTAAACTTACAAAATTTGAAGCTTTGGCATATCTATCAAGTAGTCCGGTGTGAGGCTGTCGTCGCTCTTTGAACTGGTATGCTCTTTGCGGCTCGCAACGGACGATGGAGCTCTGACCTACAGTCGGCGAATAGATAGACTACATCTCTGGGTGGTGCATAGCTGCCATGATGGGCTCAATGACACTATGGCAAGCGCAGCAATGTCTGGGGTTATCTCCATTACATCATTTCTTCAAGATGTTAGATAGATTACACCCTTGACCACGATATTCGTCGAGCACCGGGTCATCACCCCCCGCACCCCCATTGGCAAGCGAGGATTTGAAAATCGCGAACCAGAGCACCGTCTCATCACACCATGGTCGTTTACAGAAACCTGATCAAACGACTCCCTACCCGATGAACATTATTAACACTAGACAAAGGCCCAAAGGTCATCCGCAAGACCCCTCCATCACCTGATCGAGCAATGTCACCAGCTTAAGGTTCACCATACCCAACCTCACAACCGAGAAGAGCGCTTGTTACTGCCTTATGAATGGCGGAGGAAATCTAGCGCGGTGATAGCTTGATCTTCTGCCAGAAGCAGATGCTTTGTAGTTGACGATGTCAATATGATCTCACGAAAAGACCACGAAGGTTGTGTCTAGTCGTCGCAAGGTCCTAGATTTCTCAGGCGGCCGTCAGGCCTACTGTCAGGCCTCGCAGAGAAATACAGCGTGAAAATAGGAAGTTCTTAAAAGGCAGTTTCTTTTATGACAAACCTCGACTCATTATGACTAAGTCCCATAGCTGAGGTTCCATCAGCAGCTAAGATCTTATCTAAACATTCAGCTTCAGCCATAAAGAATTGTTCTCAGCAGTACGTAACCAACCTGTGGGAATGCCGACTGCTGAGCATAAAGGCGTGGACGTAGCTGAGTACTCCGTATCGGTAGTCGGCGTCTGTTCCAGTTTCCAATTTCCATCAGTATCGCGGTCAGCGCCACCTGCTAGGGTTGGCGCGCTAACCTCGAATTAATCAATCGCTCCCGAGTGGGTCGAGACTAAGAACTCGGACTTTTTGAGTCCTTGACTCTGATTGTTCCAAGTGGAGGAAGATCTCGATGCTGGATAACTAGCCGCCAATTGATAAGATAGGTTAGATGCGCCTGGCCAGATCGGGAGATGTCTCTAGTGGGAGTTGTGGCTGTAGGGCTCTGTCCTCCGTACCCGTACCCGTTGCTTAGTCTAGTTGTCTACTCCGTACGAAAACTACGCTGCCTGCAGTAAATCGCTGCTGGTGGTAGCTGCGATGTTCGGAGGAACGCTTGTTTGGGTAAATGCTGTCAGTGCCTGGATATGTTCTATTTCTAGGTGGTTACTGTTTACTGCGCCTTGTAGTACCCCACAATTTGACTCTGATGCGGCAAGCCATGAATCTCCTAATTGTCGTGCAGGCAGCGCAGTTGATTTTCCTTGCAAGAAAGTAGCACATTGTAAAAGCAAGGAGATCATATGTACAGTGTACATATTGGTAATTCATTAAAGCCATTCACTATCCCGTATCTATCGGTTGATGATCGTCGAAACGATACAAGCGGAGACTGAAGAAACTACAGACCACATGGTCAGCCACTAGTACCTATTGTTCTGAATCCAGCGTTTAGATAGACTCTGGGCCTCTGTGACAGCTTCGCACCGTTGCCGTCGGTCACTTGGTGGATAAGATACCTCACACACACCCGGAAATGTGACATTGCCATTATGCTCACTCACCGGTGTGATGGGCGCCTGAGCCAGTGACTGGGTATGCTCGAGCAGGGAAGATGAAGCACTAGCCATGCAGGCTAATGCCGGGGCAATCATCACAGCATGGCAAGAGCGTGCCGATGGTTGGCTCGTTTCTGGGACGGACCTCCTGTGCAGATGACTATCCCAGGAACCAATTATGCTTCCAGAAGCGTCCACTTCATGTTTCGACAGCGCTCAGGGCTCTGGGGATGGCACACGGTCACAACAGGGATGCGATAGGCCAGCTCGCCAAGTAGGGTGTCAGCCATCATCAGGCCCCGGTCGGTCCTGTCAGATTACGCTGTGGTTCGAGCTTTTTGGAGGTGTCAGCCACATCAAAGGCTGTTTATCCGTTCTTCCTTTCATCCTGTTCGCCTCAATGGGTCGCTGGAAGCCTAATGCTATGAATGTGATTGAGCCGAATCTAAAATTAGCTGTTCATTCTAGGACCATCGAGTTGTCCAAACTATGAGAGAAAAACACCATTCTCATGGGCATCCCAGGACTCAGGTACTGCCTTCGGCGGAAGTGTCACGGAACCGGCCGGGAGCCACCCACGGGACCATTTTCACGCGAGCGAGGATCGGATCGATGAGGGTTGTAGCCGTGGATTCGTTGGAGACATCAGCCAACGATAATTCGGTGTTCCTGAATACAAAGGTCGCATGTAAAACTAACTCCGCACATGAGAGACGTGATCTCTAATGCTCCACTACTCCTGGCTAGCGAATACGGCGCAAGAGTACAGAAGCTCCTGAAAAGGAAAATTAAGGGGAATGACGAACCTGTCTCTGTCCTCCGTATTGTGGGACGAGAGCCGAGGGGAACCAGGTGCGTGAGCCAATTCTAGACCGCGACTGCAGCAACCACCTGCAATGGGTGAGGCAAGATGCAGAGAGGCGGACCATTAAAAAACAGGGCCTATCGGCGATGTGATTGGATCTGTATGTCGACCCCCGGCAAAGGCGAAGGTGATGGCACTCTGTCAGCCTATAAGGAGGAGAGATCGTCGGGCAAAAAGTCGAGGACATACGAAGTGTGGCCAGTGTGGCAGCCAGTCAGTCACAGCCGGCGCCAAAATACTAGTGCGGGGTTTTCTGTTCATCGTTCCCTTTGCAGGACATGGCTACAACA